ATAACTCTGGGAAAGAAAAGTCAAAGTTCTGGAAAAATAAAAAATAAAAATCCCTGTGGCCCTAATCCTCTTCCATACAATTACATATCCAACAAGCTGGCTTAATTTTATACTCACTTGAATTTTATGTTTTTTTTTACTTCAAAGTGGGCTGCTTCATTATTTGTCCATAAATAAGATAATCTGTAGAATTCAGTTTTTTAATATTTTATGAACATTTTTATAAACTATTTTTTTCCCTTCTTTGCATAAATATTCTTTACTTTTGTCCTAAAGAAAAAAAAAATAAATCAATACATTTTAAAACTCTTTATATACTTTTAATTTTAAATTGTTACCCCCACAGGCCGGGACCCCTCCTTCAATGAACTTGAAGTGGCCCATGAGCCACCAGTTGATCATCCCAGTTTTGAGGCACATTCTACTTCATGAGCAAAGAGGCAGAAATGTCTCTTTTTATGGAAAAGGTCAGACACCTGCACTAACAGTCTCCAACCGTCACAGCTCATTTCTTAAGCAGGCCATGAATGAAAAGAGGCACAACAACAAATGTTGGTTACGTACTGTAACCCCAGATTCTATGAGTATAAGCGTAGCCCTTTAAGTCTGTCGCTGATGGGTTATCCCGTTATGCGAAGCATTACACTGAAAAAATTTAATCCACGCCCACCTGCTGTGTGGGCCCCATCCGGTCCGTATAAGTGTAGTATGAACATATGCTGTCATATATTCATAGATAAACGGATTCTTTCATTTTTCTGGACTGTATAATAACGTGCATCTGAATTTAATCAAATGTGGACGTGAGACGTTAATTATCTTTGACTCACCAACGACAGTGGGTCATTTATTAACAGAATCAAGTTTAACACATCACACATTTACATTAATTGGCAAGAATTGAAAATAACAACAGCTTATTTAGGCTAGTTTAGCAAGGAGTAAACAACACGGCGATTGTTTTCTCACTTCCAGCAGAACAACAAACGTCAACCACACGGCGGTGATTGAAAAACTTTGCTTCAGACATTTCTAAAAATATCTGGAATGATTTCTACTTGATAGAAGAGTTTTAAAGATGGAAAGATGAAGTTTATCTTGAGAGAGATGTGTGAGGGAATTTGTCTGTTTAACCAGAAACATGCACGCTCCTTTGGACCAGCTTTACCCAACGGTACGCTTTGGTTGAGATCGACTCTTTTACCTTTGCAGATGATAGTTTCAGCGTTGGTGTAGAGCTCTCCTTTCAACTCTTTCAGCGTCTCCGTAAGAACAGCTAAACCTCGGGAGTCGTGAGATCATCCAGAACAGACATTTCATAATTCCCAGATCTTCTCTCGTTCAGCTTGATTTTTCTGCCATCAGCATCCTGAATTCCAGCCTTCATGAACTCTGGAACTGCGAGTTTCAGAACTGCAGAACTTCTTCATCTCCTCCAACTCCAACTGGAGGTAGAACCTCTTGCAGCACTCCTTCATCTACTCACACTTCAACTACTTGAAGGTGGAACCTCTTGCAGCACTCTCCATCATCAGCTGACTTAACTCCAACTTCACTTAACTCTGGTTGAACTAGGAAGTGCCAACATTTAAAGAAGCTCACTTCCGGTTCATTTGAGAACTTTCTGATTGGTCGATTGACCAAAACAGAGGTGTGTTTTGTGATGTAAGGTGTTATGAAAAGTCAAGGAAAAAGATTAAGAATGTTTAAGAACAGACAGAAGATTGTTACGAAGAAATCAGACTTCGTGGAGTCACTTCTCTAGTATCTTGCTGTAAAAGTTAAACATGACATTTCTTTTTCAGTAAACTTGCAGTTGACCGAAACTTGAACTTTGACCAACTTACACACTTGCTCACTTCAAACAGACGATCAAGAAATTGAATCATTACTCTGTAACGTATTCCAACTTGATTTCACTTTGAATGAGGATTAAGAATCATTATTACTGTTTCACAGTTAATAAAAATGAGTAGTTCACTTCAACATTTAAACATTGTTTGAACTAACACAATTTGATTATCAAACATTTGTAAAATAGTAATGATAATCGAAAGTAGTCTTCTTTCACTTGATTAATTTAAGAAAGAAAGTCTCAGGATGGGTCAACCTGTATTTCTGGATGCAAATCAATGAAATGACAAGTTCTGTCCCATAAGGTCCTTAAGGTCAAATCCTGACCTTAGGCCTAGTTCACTACAGTCCCCCCTTTAGAAATCATCGCCTGTCCATGGGGATGAATTCCAACATGAACTTACGCCTTCGAATGTCCTTGAGCTTGATGTAATCCAGCAAGGAAAACAAAAGTCAAAAGTAATCCAGCAAGGAAAACCAAAGTCAAAAGTAATTCCACAATGTTCTTGGTAATTCCATTGTGTTGATGATAATTCCATAATGTTGTTGGTAATTCCATTGTAGCAATGCTTTAACCCCCTTGGAAACAGAGTCTGTAATCCATTGGAAAAAGTCATATAATCCACAACGGTAAATCCACAACGATTGGAAGTGTTGATTGATCAGCATACAGAGGGGTTCCCTTGGATTGAACTGAAGATGCGGCCACTGGATGAAGAGTGGAGACCAACGTCAGGATTGCAGGTCTCCTCCAGCGAAGGTCGTCGCTGGGTGGATGTCCAGTCTGTGCCGTTCTGGTTCAAATGTGTCATGCAATTATGTGGTTTAAGGTGGGCTTATGAAGGGGATTTTACATAAGGCCTTAAACTATATGCACCTGGTGTGTAAGCTATTATGGTTGGGAACAGCTACAGCTACCAGTTAAGGGGTGGAACATGCTGAAAAGGGTAACTATAGGGATTTATACCTATAGAAAAGGGTTCCAAACTATTTTTCCATTTCTAACTTGGTTTAAGTTAGCTTTACATGGTAAAATATAGTTTGGTTCAATTGTCTGTTGTCTTTTAGACGAACGACTTGAGATTGGGTGTTTGGTTTCCCCATAAATGTTTTTGGAAGTCTATGGCGAGACTCATCAAAAAGAATTAGCTATCCCCCCGAATAGAATTGTTCGAGTAGGTTCGGCTTAAGCGTTGTGAGACCAATGTAGATTATGGTACTTAAGGTAGCATTAATCTACATTGACTCCGCAAAGATGGCATTTTAACGAATGAACTGCATGTTGGCATGGTTAAAGTGTGGGATTCCCTGCCTTCTCCTTTAACCTCCTCACTCTCTCTCCAACTAATTGGCTGATTAGCTGCACCTGCTACCAAGACCTGCACCTCCATCTCCTGCTCTACTTAAGCCACAACAAGATGTTCAGCCGACGCTCGAACATTTATTGCCTTTGGTAATATTGTGACAGCCAGCCAAACCTTAGTGTGTTTCAAGTTTTGTACTAACCTGTTGCCTTTCTGCCCGTCTGTTCAGTTCCCGTTCGTCCTGCCTGTCTGGTCTCCTCGTGGCTGTGTCTGGTCGCCAATCCTGCACACCGAACTCTTATTAAGAAACTACATTCTGGATCCTTCAACCAAAACTTCATCATCGATCAATACTCACCCGCTGGATTCCCTGCCATCTCTGGATTCTGAACTCTCTGTTCACACCACTCCAACACCTTCTGCAACCACATTCAACCGTAAGACAAACCACCTTTAAATCATCTCAGTTATTCAAAGACCATCCATATCAAGACACTCATCTCGTCTCCTTCTTTTCCTTCCACAGCCAAGATCACATCCACACTGTAAATAAACTATCACTTTTGTATCCCTGTTGTCCTCGTGTTTTTGGTCTGCCAATTGGGGTCATTTAATAACAACAACCATGTTAGAATGTTCGAGCCAATCAGACCCCCAAGGCCAGACCAAAGACAGTCAGAGGGATCAAGCTATTTTAGCGCAAAACGCCCGGATTGAAAATAATGAACGAACTCTAACAAAAATTCTTGCCCAACAGAACGAACTTGGTAGCATGATACATGCCCTCGGACAACAACTCGCCACCATGGCTACCAAGGACCCCGAACCCCCACGTCTTACCGAACCAACACCAGCTCCGGCTCCTATGTTCAGACACGAACCCGATGTTCGACCTACCGAGCTCTTTGGAGGAGATTCCAAACTGGTGGGTGGGTTCCTTCTTCAATGTGAGCTTGCATTTAACCAAGCTCCCATCAGGTACGCCTCCGATGCATCCCGTATTTCTTATATTGTCAGCGCCCTCAAGGGCGAAGCTTTACAATGGGCCCATGCTCATCTTCGCTCCCGTCCCTTAGCCTCGCTACCATACGCCTCTTTTATCAAAAGTTTTCGGCTAGCTTTCGACCACCCTTTACTACAAGAGGAGGCTCAACAAAGATTATTTACCATCAAGCAAGGGCCAAGATCAGTCGCTGAATTCTCCATCCGCTTCCGGGTAATCGCGGAAGAGTCCGGATGGGGGGAAAAGGCATTAAAGAGTGCTTTTCGTAATGCATTAAATGAGAACATTAAAGACCAGATCGCCACACGAGAACCTCCTCAGGACCTAGAGGACCTCATTAATCTCGCCATTCGTATTGATAACCGATATAAGGAACGGGAGTTGGAGAAGGACTACAAACCTTGGGACCGCCCCTCAACCGGAAGTAGTTCCTGGACACCGGCGCTTCCCGAACCGGAACCAATGCAGGTGGGTCGGGCAAAACTATCCCCCGA